GATTTTGAGTTTAGAGGCTACTCCGAATCGAAATCGTGCGTTTTCAAATACTGGATTTTAGTTCATGGATGCACTTTAAGGCAGTGCCCGATTTTGAATTATTATAGAGTTTGGTATAGAAATTGGATGTGCTTTGCTCTTGCACAGTTTCACTATGACAGAATATTAAATCTTGTCTCCCCTTGACTTTATTAATCTGGCCGGCAACATAGAATCCAATTAATTATATGAAAACTGTTTACACCAGTATTATGTATTTTTCTTTCAGGTTTATTAGAAGCCTATTAGTTTTTATGGTTTATTGCTATTAGTTTTTGCTATCTCTGTTTGGTTTTAATTTAATTTTGACATTTTGCAACCTTGCTTTCAGTATAAATGTAGTTATAACAGTTAGCACTACAAGTAGTTGTTGATACAATTGAAGGAGACAAGATCACTGCATTAAAAGAAAGCTCTCAGCTGGCTCTCTGTGAGAGAAGTGCTGCTACAAAGGGGTTGTGCTGCACGGCACTGGGTGCTAAAGCTGAAATTTGGTTGTTTCTAAACAGCGCGCATTTTATTTTAGAGAGGACGGCTGAGATTCCCTAACTGCTTGCAGCTTTTGCTCAAGATGTACTAATGGATTTCATTTAGATCGACGGTATAATTCAGATTGATAGCATCTTGTCATCTGACACTTTGACATCGCTAAAGTGAATAGGCTGAAAGACTGTTTTAGTTCTTGCGTTTATCACGAATTTGCTTTCTGGTAGCAGGGCAATATGAGGGCAGTGACTGGGAAGGGAGAAGAAGGCTGTTCTGGCTGCTGTAGTCAAATTCTGCAGACAGACTTAGATATAAAATTCTTCTGCCTGGATAGAGAAAAAATATTTTCCATTCATATAGTTCTAAATTCGTTGGCAACAAGGGGTCAGAACAAATTCTCCACATTCTTTAATTATGAACCTGGATCACTTACTGATATCTTCAAAGTATTCTGTGGAGGACAGCAGGATTAGATCCATACCAGGCACTGCTTCGGAGATAATTAAACTTAAAGGAAATAACTGACAGACATTCCAGTGCAGTTAATTAAGTATGACGTTTTATTTTCTGTATTTAAATACTGATTTGCAAAACTTCTGGAAAAAGTATGGCACAAAACCCTAGTAATAAAATCTAAAAAGTCAAAGTATAATTCATTAGAGATGTGGAAATTGTTAATCCTCTGATATATGACATTTGCTACTAAAAGTATGAAATTACTTTCCATAAATAATAAAAAACATTTAATCAACAGTTTGCATGTAATTCCTTTTTTTTTTTCCTTGTAGTGACTGTACCTGAAACCTGCATTCTACAAATAAAAGATTCTAGAAAATCAGTCTGAATGTTTCTTCAGCTATCAGACATGCCATAGTAATAACCAACAGTGAAATATTTTACCATCTTTGGAATTCCAGGGAAAGAAAAAAAGAACAACAAACCTGTCAGTCCTATTGATTATGCATCCACTAAATAGTTCCATTTTAGCTGGTTGGTAAAACATGCATTATCTCCTGAATACAGCCACAGAGCTGGGCCTGTGACACACATTTCCCATGTGTAGTGCTCAGACGGTGGTGGACACTTCAGGAATGTCGAATGGGCTAACCTTACAGTCCTGGCAAAAAAAAACAACTTGTCACATTGTTTGGAATCACATCTGGCTTGACACAGCGTTGAAGGATAATAATTCTGGTCAAAGGCCTGTATTTATTTTCACCTTTATGTTCTGGCCCATATTTACACCTAAAATATTAACATTCTCAAAAGAACATATTTTCTTTTTATTTCTGCTCTTCCATGTAATTTGCAGTTATTTGCATTCTTATTACTGTGAACTTTCTCCATCTCTTACACTTGATACTGAAACTCACACAAATACTTTTAAGAACTCTCTCCCTCACTGCTTTAGATAATTGGCGATTACTATGCTATTGTTTAAGTCATACAGGGTATTTAAATATCAGCTGTAAACAAGGTGGGAGATGGATACAGAGTACAGGAGAGTTGCCCTCATGCTCCCTCCAAATCCTCCCTTTCAAAAACCGCAGATGTGCTGAAGTTAAGTAAGCTTCTCAAATATTTACAGTTATCTCAGTGTGAAAGCATTGGTGTTCTAACCAATAAAGATTGAAATGTTTTACCATCTCAGAAGCAAGTTAATGCAATTTCATTTTCATAGCTATAGTGAAGACAAATAAAGTCATAGAAATTATTGAATAATTTTTCCACAGATTCAAAAGCATGGAAGACTCATTAAAGAGAAAGGAAAAAAATCCTTGTCTCATTTTGTATCTCAATTTTAAACAATACATGTTTCCAGTGAATATTTACAGGCTGATAATACGCTAGTACAAATTCTAGAAGACACAACAAAAATTATCTGCTGTCTATTCACAAACCTTTGCCATGTCTCAGTGTTTGGGGATGGGCGTATGGACTGCCTTCCCTTGAATAGAAATCTATTGTGTGGGCTTGTTCCATTGGGATCAATGGGACAACATGTGCAGTGAGATGCTAATGAACACCAGAAACGATGGTAAAATCTGGCCTGGCTAAGGCATAAGGCTGTTTTTATAAATCACTGCTGAGTATCTTGCTATACTTCTTTCAGCTATGCTGTTGAAATTTCAAATATTCAGGGACACTTTACTATATAAGTTTTTACATCATTTAAATCACATTTTCCCACCCTTACAATGTGAATAATTCTCCATTCTTGTCTTGTTTAAAGTTGCAGATTAAGGCAGTCCCTTTTCAGTGACAATTGCACTGTTAATGTAAATGTGATTCCAGAAATGGAAAATAAAATACACTCGAGGAAAATAACATCAAACACAAGTATAAAAGAGAAGAATGATGGTCAGAAAGCAGGCTCACGGGAAAGGATAGTGTTGGCAGCATGTAGCCTATGGTCATTTCCCCACTGCACCTGCAGAGCTCCACATCAGAAATGTTCGGTCCCACAATAAGAGGAGGGACAGCCCCAGCCCATCTCAGAGAAGTCCCCAGGCAATAGTGCCACTGCGGGCAGTCGTGCCTGGTGAGTGCTCAAAGCCAGGCACAGGGCTGCAGTGCTGGAGGAGACGGGTGCTTTTCTTGGTCCCCCCTTCAGCCTGGGCTGGGACATAGCATGTATCATTTGACTGGAAAACCTACAAACCTATGCATATAACATTGGGAGTCTGTAATTCTTGGCAGCTTGGAGCAGGTTTAGAAGTGCTCAGACACAATAGTATTAAGGATCATAAAAGTCCTACCTCTGTCTCTTAAAAGAGAGAGAGAGGGAGAGAAGACAAGGTCCACCAACACCATCTTTTCTCATCAGCTTATGGCAGAGGTTAATTATTAACTATTGAAACACTGACAAACTGTGGTGTTTGTTTGCTTATTATGAGGCCTGTCAGGGCCAGAACCAAACCTTACTGAATCTGAGTGATGTCTCCTTGTTTCAATAGACTCAGAGGTCAGGCCCCTAAAATTCAAATCACCAATGCTGTTCCTCGCAACAAAGAACCAGTGAGCACTTTGAGGAAGAGCTTAATTACTCCAATGAGATCATTTAGTTTTTAAACAGAAATGCTTTAATAGGGGGCAGACCCTTTCATATTTATTTCCCAAGAAGGAAATTGATTAGCAAAATGTTAATAATGAGATTTTAAAAGAGCTCATGCCATCCATAGACACCAAGCTCAGCTAAGGGAGCTCACATTTTCTTTCCAACTGCCAGTGCTAAGAAAAACTGTTTTCAGGGAAGGACCCATGGATGGAATGCAGGTCATCTTCTCTAGTTTGCTAATACCACTTCTGTAATAATTTCGCCTGCTATTCTTTTGCATCCAAAGCAAGGGTTTGTGCCCAGTAGCAGCAATTTCATGCATCCAGATCTAGCCTGAAGCCATCATCTCTTTGTCAGGAAGACACTTCCTTGCAGAGGTGCTTAGCTGGGTCTCTGAGAAAACACAACCTTCATATGGAACTCAGTGGATTCAGACACTGCCAGCAAATTTAATTTAGAGAAGAAATACACGGGACATGAGAGATCCCTTGGTGGAAGTTAGTGCCCTTAGTACTCTGCCTGGCTGTCAGAAATACTTCTGACTAGGAGCGTGGGATGGAACAGGATCTTGGGAGCTACAGCTTCTTCTCAGCCACTTTGTACACAGCAAAACAAACAGCTGGCATTGGCTTTCCTTTCAGATATTTTGTATACTCAGGGAGGTGAGAGTTCTAAGGTTCTTCCAGACACAAAGAATATATTTCTGGAATGGGATGATACACATAATCCAGTGTTATGTCTACTATAGGCTAACAATTACTGCCTGTAGTATAGCAAGAACAACTGACCCAAAAATATGGATACACTGAAATGCGTAAAACCTTCACTGTAGGGAATACTGTGTAAATAGTATAGTATAGATAGATAGACAGATGGATAGATAGATAGATAAGACTAGGCAACAAAAATCAGAACTATAAAGGGTAAAGAAGCAAGAAATTATATGTATTTTTAATTCTATATCTCTGCATGACTGATGACTGATGATGCAGGGGGAAGTAATTATTTTCACCACTGCTGAAAATAAAATTTAATTTAAAATTATCTTCATATGTATGTATGCTTGGAGTTGTTTTCTCACCAGTTTTGTTACTAAGAGCTGGCTGGTACCCATAATGGATAATCAGCATGTTGCATCTCAAGATTTTGCAGATATCACTATCTTTTTCCTAAATTGCAGAGGCCCAGTCTTGCATCGTTAGTGCATGTGAACTATTCAAGATGCCCTGAAGATTTGGGAGGGTGGATAACCTCCCTGGTTTTCAATATTTTAAGGATTTACATCTATCTGAAGTTCTATAGAGTCCTTTCTACACTGAAAAATTTTGTAACTTTCCAAAATCACTAGAATCCACATACTTAGTGCCTTTGATCTGGATATTCATGGCATCATTTCTCATGTATTTTTATTGAAATAAGACTTGGAGTTGCAAAAACAGCAAGCTAACAAAATATCAACTCAATCTTGGTGCATTTCACTAATGAGCAAAAGACCCACTGGATTTTGTACTGCCTTACTCTGATATTAGTAAATTCATATTAAATATATTGACTTCAATTAATATTCAATTCAGTACTCCATGCCTTTTAAAGATAAAAGTAAGTGGAAATAACTAAGAGATCATCTTTGTTATTTTAGCAACATTTTCATTTTCTTCAGCCTATTTAATATACTCTCAAATTTAATTTCTGGGCTGAAAATTGTAAAACAAATACACACTTATTAGAAATTTTTTTTTAAATCGCTGAAAGAACATTCTTCAGGGTATAGAAAGTTTTTTTGTCTATTTGCATGATTTTTAATCTGGTTGTATATGGTCCTGTCCCTCATAAGTCACAGCAAACAATATAGTATTCCACAGGAGCTTTTATCCTAGTGAGCAGAAAGTGAGCAGAAAGACTGAACAAAAGATTGAATTAATTAATTAATTGATGAATGTATTTAAATAAGGCTCCACCTGCTCTGCTTCAAAAATCTCTCACTATACTACAGAGAGGTTTGTTACACTAATATCAAAGCCTTCCTCTTGATTTTTGAACGAGATGATTTGTACTTGGAGTGACTGCCAAAATTCAAGATATGCAGAATAAATGCTGCCTTTGCTGATGTGTGTAATACCAGGAAATCACAACCTAAAGGCAACAAGGAAGGCAATCTATCCAAAATTAAATGGGGAAAAGTAGATTTTCCCACTGCTTTTTCAGAAATACCTAACGCACTTGTTTCATCTTAAGGATTTGCCTTGCTATCATGAACGGTTCACTAACATGAAGAATTTAATTTAATATGAACAAAGGCACTCTTTTAGGAATTTTTTTGCCTTTATATTCTCAACCCAATGATGCTTTCTTGTCTTACATCAGCAGACAAGATGTATGGTAACAAACTGCATGGGACAAGACCTGATTTGCCTGCCAGACACCAGCAGAATTTGCCAAAAGTTTGCAGAAGGGCTGCTCTAAAATAGAGAATGGCGAAAGCCGCCGTGGTTGTAGCTCCTTATTGGGGTTATAGCAGTGCCCCACCGGTGGCACTGAAGAGAAGGAGTTGGTGGCTAAGGGGTGTTGGATTAAGAGGGGTGGGAGTGGGATTTGTGCGTCCCCCCCGTCCCAGACAAAGGTCCCTGTCCCCCGCAGGAAGGTGCTGAAATGCAAAGCGAGCTCCCAGCTCCTTTTCTCTCTCTTGGTGGCATTTGGAAGTGTAAAGCTTTGAATACCAATTGCTTGAACTGGACATATGTGAATCTCTTCTAATCCTACTAATCCCGTCCCCGAGTGCTTCTTTGTATGTGGAGGCAACACACATAGATCTAAGTGAAAGTGGCCGTAATCCTGGAAATGTGGAAAAATGTCCCAGTGTGGGAGTTGGGAGAGGGAAAAGCTCCCCAGCGGAGGGAACCCGCTGGAAGAGCTTTGTGTTTGTGGGGTGAGCGAGGGGCAGCAGTGGGGGCAGGGGAGACATGAAGGAGAGCTCTCACCTTCCCTGAGCCGCGAGGAGGAAAGCAAACCCACCCAGCGGGAAAGCTCCCTTTGCAAACAGCCATCGCACACTTGAGCAAACCCGCAGAACTGAGACAAAGTTTCCAAACGCTGGGAAATTCACCCACCGGCAGCTTTCAGCAGTGTGAGCTCAGCAGGCAGGGCACTAATGTGCTGACTTCATTATTTCCCGACCTCGCCCGGCTGAATGGCAGATCTGTGGAGGGAGCAGTGCACTATCACTCCGTCCTTCCCTGGCCACAAAGATAGGGAGAGGAGCTGGGATCATGTACCCTATGTACCCTGTCACCGGCCCTGGGTCTGTCTTGGAGGCGGGGGGGGACCCTCTTACCCTGCGCGGATGTGAGAAGTGGCGAACAGCAACAGGGCAGCGGAGACAGAGTCAGCTCGCATGTGACCGATGTGCTCTCCATTCCGCCTCTCTGGAAACTGATTTCAGGCAACAAACCCCCTAACTTTACATGGGTAAAAGGACAGAGACGGCAAAAGCTTCTGTGTCTTTGATTCAACACTGAAACCTCAGCATCTGATCAGGCTGCTATTTAAAATTAACATCCACCTGGATGCTAACAAACCCTATGGGTTTTCCAAATATACAAGTCATATAATTCAGCCACACGAATTTCCCAAATGTCAGACAGCTAATTTACATTTTCTTGGCTAGTCACTGAATAAAACGTGTTTATACCCCACAGTAGATCGTGTACAAGGAAATTAATCTGGTTTTTGTATGCGCTTTCAAAATATTTTAAAATATGGAGCAATTGATAACATTATTTGCCAGGCAAATCTTTATTTTGCTCAATAAATCTCTAAATAAAACCATGTTAGGTAAGAAAATCTAAGGCTATATATTCTCTTGGAGTTGACTTTTTTATTACCTCACCAGACTTTGTGCTTTCATAAATATGTGTCAACTGAAATTAACCTGCTGTTTAGAGATAGTATAAACCATCCCAAAATCAGCCTGGGGACTGCAAGTCCTTTTTTTTTTTTTTTGCACATGAACCTACTGAATGTCACAGGGACAGAAAATGAGGCTAGATCTTCAACTTTGCATTGACAAAGCAATAAGATTGCCTCTTGGAAACATGTTAAGGCAAAAACCACAGTGCATAAAATCACTTCATTAGCAGGAAACAGCCCAGGGAAGAGTTTTGTCATGTGCATCAGAGGACACATAGGATAAAAACTTATCTAAGCCTAGCTCTGTGAACATGACTCCGCAGCTGGCTGCAGAAACATTGCTCACATGGAGAACGAGTCTTGGCATTCAAGGGACACTGCTGATGTTGCACCAAACAGCTCCTCAAACTCCAGCAGTGCTGCCCCTCCTGCAGGCTGGCAGGGAGAGAGAGTACAGCCCTTCTGGGCAGAGACAATCCACAGAGCCAGGGCACACTGGCACAGTTGTTTCCGACTTTAGACTTCCCAGACAGGGAAGAGAAGGAAAACAGTTTGTCTGCAGGGAAGCTAGCTTCATTTGTATTAAAGAGCCTTGCGGCCCAAGGGTGCCTGTGATGTTATCCCCCTCAGGACACCAAGCATTTTACCAGCAAAGCAAGGGTGCCATTTTTTCTATCAGTGCTGAGAGTTGTGCCACATCCCAGACTGTCTCCAGGCTCTTAGCCCAGAGGCAGCAAGTGTCCCATGTCCATATTGCTGAGGTGCCCTCAAGAGGAAGCTGTCTACAGGGACTCTTCCTGCTGGCTGGAAGCCACAGCCATGCAGTAGCCAGATGGCCATTTCATGGCATGACTGATAGAGCCTTTGGCCTTACTCGTGCTTCAGCATGTCTGGTGACATGATGACCCCCAGCTGCTGTGGATGACATTGCCTCCCCTTGAGAGCCTTCTGTTCTACTTTGAACAGGACCCAGTGCTGTCCCCAGCCTCAGCCTGCGCAGAGGGGCAGCAGTGGGGCCTGTAAGAAACAGGTACCCTTGATGCGTGAGCACGGGCAATTCTCGGAAGATTGCATCCAGACAAAATTTTCATGATGCTGTTGGTCCTCCCAGTCTTCATCTAGTCACTCTGCCCATCTAGTTGAGATGTGCCCTGAAGGAGCAGTGCAGTTCCCACTAAAGGCCTGTATTTTTTATGAGATGATAGTTGGTAAAGCTGCAGGCAAGATCAGAATCTTTATCCTGCCAAGGTGACCTGGTGTTATACAGGGCAGTGGAAATATGGCACATGGGGCACAACGGATGTCAGGACAAGATATCTTGAAAGACAAGGTCCTTCTACCAGTGCTTCAAATGCTGGTTGGCAAGGGCCATGCCTGGGGGTGGCCCATAAGGCAGGACAGTGCAGGTATGGCCAGATCAGCCTCAGCCTGTTGTGCAGCTGTGTAAGGGTGTGGGCTGATGCCAGTGGACTAGTCCTCATTTGCAACTAAAATCTGTAGCATAGGCACTGCAGTGTGCCACAGTGAAGAATATCAAGTCTAGATGTTGCTAGCAGCATATCTATTGCCACCTTGGCACATCAATTTTCGGACAAAGGCAGGCTTTTCCCCCCTAACTTTGCCATATATCAAGGGTATTATATCCAGGATACATAAGCTAGGATTCTCATTGTCATTCTCTTTGATGGACTCACACCAACAAGGGATCTGACCCTATTTCTATAATCTGCCCCAAATGCCAATGACTAGAGTCTGTTTCAATTTAAAGCAATGAAGCATTAATATCTTTTAAAAGAATTTAGTTTCAAATTATTTCAAACAAAATGAAAAGATGTGGCAGCCTATAGGCCACTGAAATCAATTGGGTGAATTTGGAACTTAGTATTTACTGTTGGGATCTACACAAATTCAAGAGCCAAAGGCAAGATTAGTTGGATTAGTGCTTCAGTGGTCCTTCATTATCCATTTCTCCCTCAGTGACATGATTTGTGTCTTCAGTTAACTATGCTTATTAAATGAGAATGATGAAGAACTGAAGTAAAAATATGTAAGTAAAAGGAGGATGTTGAATCTTGTTAATCTTGTTTAGAATGTTACAGCATTTCATTAACTAGAAAATTTCATTGAGGTTTACTACATTTTCTTCTGGTGTTTAGTCTAAGAGTCGTACTCTGACATTGGAAAAGAGAAAAACAGAAATGTCTTACAATTTGCTTACTTACCACATTGAAGATAGGCAGAAAACAGAATCAGGTCCACCTGAACATGGGGTTCCTGAGCAGAGACCACTCTTTTATTCCTCTAGTTTATACTGCTTTCTAGGCTGTCATAAAAACTGGAGAACCACTTGTGTTTGGGGATCCCAGTCTGTCTCCTGTGGCGACAGTAGAGGAGGAAGGAACGCCTTAATGGTGTGAATCCAGACTTGGCTCTGCTGCAGACACTCTCAACAGTAGGCCAGTTTTACAGTCTTGCACAAGGATATCCTGATGCACTGGAGAATCAGGCTGCTGTTCTGGAAAGTGAAACTTATTGGTCAGGTGGGCCTATGTTGTGGAAAAGTCAGAGACATACAAGTAACCTGACCTGAAAAATTGTCTCTTTTTACTGGAGCATCAGCTGACATTAACTGTAAGGTTGGATCCAGTCACAAAGTAAAAAGAGTGAAGGGGACTTGCATGTGGCACAGACAATAAATGGGACATGAGCATAACATCTACTCAAATCTTCCATTAAGTCAGCAGCTGAATCTGAAATCATCCCAACTATTTACTCATCACGTGGGTAGAAACTATTTCCCAGGGCACATTTCGGACAGCCTTTTAAATAGCCTGTTAAATCAAAATAAATATGACCACATTACTTTTTAATTTTTCACTGTTTCAAAACAGGTTTAATTAGGCACACGGCAACCTTGAAAAAAATCTAAGAAACAGGGAAGTTATATTGATTCTTTATTGTCACTTTAATTGTCTATTCTGATGTGTTAAAACTGAAACAATCTTCCAGCTGCAATGTCTAATGAACTCCAAGATCAAACATGATCTTGCTAATTATGGAGTTAATGAGGACAAGTTCACAGGCAGAGTTAAGTTAGTAACTACATGTTTCAAAGCATCTTGAAGCTCAATAAGATCTTCATTTGGTGTTATAATGGTATACAGTTTGGATTTCTTCTTTCTGAACATGTTACAGAAGGGCACCCTATGTATGTTATATGCTGCTAATCATGTGCAAACGACACAAAGACAACTTCAATAAATTAGGAAACTGACTGCTTATAAATCAACTCAACATCGAAATCTCATTTACATTTCTGCTATCCCATGTAATGTGTTTACACACAAATAATGACAACATTAGCATGGGAGGGGGACAAATTTAAATTCCACAGCATGTTTCTGAAGCTAAACCATCAAGAAAAAGCAATCAACATTGTAAATGAGCATACAGGCATTTAGATTTTTAAAAAGATGCACTACTAAATCAGGCCTTTGAACTCAGATAGCAAAATGAACCTTACAGCTGTATCCATTTCAAGGGCATGCTTACACTGGGCACAAGTGGGATAGGAGAGTGCTGTGTTTGAAGAAAGCTACTTCTTACTCATGCTAGGAAAGCTTGTATCTAAAAATTATTGTTTCTAGAAGTGTTTGTAATGAGAGTTCATTCTCTATTTATTTCCTCCTCTTCCTCCTCTTTTAAAATTGTTGATAACCTTGGAGTTATGGCCGTTCTGTGTGTCCTTGCACAGTAGACACTCCTGAAGGACCTGTAAGGTCTGTAATTGCAAAAAATAAACAAACAAACAAACAAACAAAAATCCCACAGACAATCACCTGCATTAGTAGAAGCAGCAGGAGTTGGTCACAGTGGCAAGAGTTTGTCTGCATCCAGCAAGCAGCTATGCTGGATTAAGCAATCAAATCCATGTGCCTTACATTAAGGAAGCCATGTCATATGGAAATAAAGATCATTTGACAACACACTGGGAATACTTTAGAGCTCACAGTTCTGGACCCAGAACAGTAAAGTAGGAGGTATCAGATAAAGGCTCAGAAATATCAACAACGACCATGAATCCATGAGAGGTTCAGGCAAGCAATGGAGCCAGGAGTAGTGCTGTGTAACATGACTACCTCTTGATTTAGAAATATATTTAATATTTCAAATTTATCTTACAAGTACATGACAGATATATCTCCATTCAAGTAAGTGGAGAAGGACAGGCGCACAATATGTAATTTTACTTTTTCATCAAATCTGGTTTTATACAATGTAGTTCTTCAGGCTGTGGTTATGTGAGCCATTTTTTGGCATCAGTGCTGCTTTATTTGCTTCTTTTTCCTGCATCATGTCCTCCTCTATGCTACTGCAGCTGTTCTCATGACCCGTACAGCAAAACATATCAAGGAACTGATCTGGGTGAGAATAAAAAAGTTTTATATTTTTTCTGGATTATTTTCCAATCAGATTAGTTAATGTCTTCATTTACCACAGTGCTATAAAATTCTTTGTGCAACACAGGAGGGGACAGATGGGAATGGAAGTAGATGTATAAAGGAAGTGAGGAGGACAATGACAGGTGGTTTAAACAGCACTGCCACAATGTGTATCACAGTCTCAGTTTACTTATTCAAGACATAGTTTCCATCCCTTTTTGTCCCACCCAGACAAAATTCTATTCCTTAATAACTCTCAATATTTCTGAATGAATTTTTCAGCATCTGTTTTATCCAAAGTGGCATCACCCAGACACCCAGCATGACGTTTGGGGAGATAGCTGTTACTTAGTCTGCAAACCAAGCATCGCTTAGATCCGAATTTAAACAGTATTTAGAAAAATATTTTTCAAATACTCATAGGTGAGGTGGCAATGTTAAGATGCTTTCATTTGTGGTCAACTGACATGGCCCAACAGTTTCTACCCTCTTGACAAAGTTTCATTTAGAGGTTGTTATTCATGTCAACCAGGAGCTTAGAATAAAAAATAAGAAGTTCAGTCTGTGGTACTGAATCCACGCATCCTGAAATCAATCTTCAGAACAATTTCCTTTGTTATAACTAGCTTATGTCCTCCTCTCTTAGTGCACTGCATTGGATGCTTCCTTTCCCAGTACCGGCAAAGGGAGGCAGGACAGCACTCACACTTCCCTTTCCTTTTCTGCTGCTCCCATTTGCTGCCCAGTGTTCAGCTCCCTGTCATTTCTGTTAACGGGTCTAGGTAGTGTTTCTCTTGGTCATCCTCACTTCAGGGAAATTGGTTTTCATTTTATGGCTCTGGGTGTGAAACTTGGCATCTGAAATATGTGTCTGTGCAGTCCCCTGTGAGCATGGAAGAGGATGTAAGCCATCTTCAGCATACTGGTGGCTTTGCCACAATGCATACAGCATTTTTGTTCAGCATACTGGCTTGTTGTTCAGCTTGGTCTGTGGCGCATAACTCTTCCCCAGGCCTGGTCTGAAGAATTCAGACCTCTCACTGTGAGGCTATGAATAGGAAGGTAAGGGAAATCACCAAGCCAGCAGTGTAACGATGCCAAGGATGAGCATCTTATTTCTTTAATAGGAATAAGACTGCAGATAGAGCTTTCTCTGTGGCAGATGCCCTGAGAAGTCAAAACTGGTTCTTAAGAGTTGGACCTACAAAATGCTCCTGTAGAAACTCTTGGGTCAAGGAAGGGACATAAAAGAGAAGCTAGAAATTAAGGAAAAACCTTGAGATCTTTCTGGGTAGAGTGACTTTTTGATTTGCATTATACTTGAGTAGTCTTCATGAGCAAAAACTGGTGCAGCATGACACCAGTTATTTCTAAGCTGAGGAGAGTGCTGGCCATGTAATAAAGGAGAATATCTATCCTATTATGTCTTCATGGAACAGAAAAAATCCTCTAAAATAATTTTAATTAGAATTATCATTTTCTTTACAACACAAATTCTAACTCATTGCTTTACATGTTGTGATGCAACAAGTCCTTTTAAGCAGTCCCTCAATACTACCAAAGGTTTTCTTACACTACTTAAAATAGGGAATGTTTTCCCATCCTACATGGCCCTTGGTTTCCATTCCTTTCAGTGTGATTTCTTCTTTGTTTCTTTTCTGTGCTAGGAGATGATAATGAGGCTCACACACCTTCTGCTTTGGTGCTTGGAAATCTACCCTGGGTTTAGCTTAGATGCAGCGAGCTGAGAGGCTTCCCCCTACACGCCGCCAATTTTCAGTGCACTCATATGTGGCTGACGCGGTAGGGGGCTAATCCCAACAGCAAACATTATACTCTTTCCATACACACTTACACTTTGGAATCAAGGGTAAAAAGTTCTCTTTGAAGCCCATTTTCTCTGAATGGTCTGGCAAGCTAACGTGAACTTCCCAGATTCTGGACAGAATTCAAATGTATCGCAGTGCAGCTCAGTGACAGTTGCAATTGTTCCAGGCCCTCCCAGTACACCGGCCTTCCTGTAGCATGTGATGAGAAGGACATACTTCTTTAAGAAGTAAGAAGCCATTTATTTAAGTATGGCTACAGGCAACATACAACATACTTGAGCAAAGTTTACCCACAGAAAATTTGTCTATTTTTGTTCATCTGCTATTCCCAATGACTTATGTTTCAGCAGGTACCATTGTGGAAACAGAAAATAAGTGGTTTAGGGAAATTATTTCTGATCACTGGACATAGGTTGAGCTGGCAAGTCTGACCAATGGAAAAATGTTCAAAAGCTCATGCCCTTTTTCATTTCAATAACAATAGAGACACATTCTGTGCTCAATCTGGAAGCAAATGTTGCCCATATTTGGATCTCAGTGGGAGCTGTGCACGTGGAATTTGGCCCAAAGTGTTGTGTTGCAAGATGCTTGTTACGCTTGTCCTGCTTTAAATCTTGATTCTTCCTATTTCTAGGACAAATACCATCTGACTGTGACTGAGTCTGTATTAAAGGAAGTATCAGACTGAAAACAGATTTTTGCTGTATATGTGCAAAGGGATGGAATAGATTAAGGCTGATCTCTTGGGGGATGCTCAAAACTGGACTGGCACAAGATCCACATCTGTTGTATATCACCCAGGATGGGTATTTTTGTACCAAATTTTTATCAGGTCCTTGAATTCATGGGCAGGTCTTCCTTCTAGTTATAGTTCCAAAGAAAGTAGCCAATATTTACAGTATTATATATATATATTTGCAACTGTTTCCTATATTAATCTTATTTTATTGGAAACTAGTAAATTTTCAGATTAAGTGTGGTGTACAAAAGTGGGTATGCTTTATCACTCAGTTTCAGCTCTTTGAAACCAGGACAATAAAAGGAATCACAAGCAGGCTTCTGGGGAGAAATCTGCTTTCATCCTTACGTGCAGTAAGGAGAAAGCTTCCAATCAGACTAATTCAGAAGGGGGGCAAAACATCTTTAGTGTGCTCTCATTTTTGTCTCTGAACTTTGCTCATTTACAGATACATGAATAGCGGAGACCATTTCCAATTGAGAGTGGAGTTGGACAACTAGG